AGATTTCATGGGTCGGGTGGAGCAGTACAACTCATGACGTCAACTGCGGGGTTTATGGTACAACGACTTTTTTGTTGATTTCTGTGCCATCAAACTTTCCAACCGTGAAGATAACTTCCCGTTTGCAGTTGGTTAAGACCATTCCTTTTTATAAGACACTTACCTTTCCACACAACTATTAACTATGTCACAACTAATAATATTTTACAAATGCAACTCTCACTATATATTCACCTAACTCTGTTGCAAAACACCTCGGAAAAACGTCTGCGCATGAGTTACCCTTACTGAAATTTGCCTTGCGAACATGGTGTCAATTGTTCCGAAGGTCGCCAAAACTCAAAATGGGAGCGACTTCGATGTTTTGCCTTTTCTGTGAAAATGCAAGCGGAATAATGAATGTGACAACCTAAAAACTAGAAATAATTACAGTCTAGATGTGCAAGAAGTAGTATTATGCAAGAAAATTAACCATGAGCAAGGGTGACTGTCGATAAATTTATTGTATAAAATGTTCTTTGACTGAACCATACAAAGATATTTTTCGTAGGTTCATATGACCAACATTTTTCTCAAAAACTTTTTTTACGTAGCATTTATAATTTTTGCGTTGATTTAATCGAGTGCAAGTGCTTAACTATTTGATAGTTCTTAACTTTTCTGTCCTAAGTTCGGTATTCGACAATTTTTCAAGGAATGTTTACACGCCTCACGGTCTAAAATGATAATTTTTAATTTAAATTCTGTTTCTTTTTAGATTTTAATTAAATGTTAGAAAACTTTTTATTAATGTCTAAACTGCCCGTCTAGTGTAGTTTTTTGTTTGTTTCACTTACCTTAATTAAGTAATTAAATAACAATGTTTTTGTTTACAATTTGCCATTTTTTAGCACACGCGCATGCGCAGATGTTTTTCACGTTGTTCTGTTGCAATGCTTGTGGAGCGTAGGTAATGACATACCCATGCGCATTAAAACACAAGTTCTACAATATAGATCGTTGTGTTCACTTAATACAAGGTATCACTCTATGGTCTATACGGCAAATTTAAAACCGAAAGCATTCACAATATTTAGAGTAGTCCCAAAATGAAAATAAGATATTTCGGAGAAATGTTTCCACAACGCACCATTCAAATTTCTTTGATTTTGCCTTAAAATTTCATGAAATTTCTTGAAATGGGATGTAATTTCTTTGAAATTTCCTTGATTAACATAATCTCTATAAATTTTTTCTGTGTTGGTATTATGTACTCAGGTGAATATGATGTTTGTGATGTTACTCTGAGTGTACCGTATACCCACACCGGACAAGCTTGAAAAATATGCCTGGCCACGGTGGGAATCGAACCTACGACCTTTGGAATACTAGCTCAATGCTCTGACAACTGAGCTACGCGGTCAGGTCAGTAGCTCAGTTGGCAGGGCATTGGGCTAGTATTCCAAAGGTCGTAGGTTCGATTCCCACCGTGGCCAGGCATATTTTTCAAGCTTGTCCGGTGTGGATATACACTCAGAGTAACATCACAAACATCATAATCTCTATATAATTTAAAGTTAAACAAACTTTTGTTTAGGTTTCTGAAGAATATTGCGTCATTGTTGATTCATTTGTACCACATCTTGAAACTGGTCATATTATTGGCGAGGTATGAGGAACTTTCAAATCTTTATAAAGAAATAATTTATAAATTGAATATCGTATAGTAACTAAATTGAGAACAAAATTGTAGTCTCTATACAGGGTGTATAAAAAAATTGCACGGTTAAAATGTACGAATTTTATGCAAGCATGGAAAGCATGGGTAGTTTGGGGTCTGCTAGTATTTTTACCTCTAGAATTATTTTGAAAAGTAAACTTTCGAGTCGGTAGGAGGGTTGTTTTTAACTGAAGGCGGTTTTCCACGAGGCGGAATTTTTCGACCGAATCGAAATTTTTCGACAATGACGAGTTAAGCGCATGCGCAGTTGGGTATTTATTTTTTGGCAGCGAAATAATTGAGAGTTGAAATGTTGGCGACATTTTCCGCTTTCGTGAGTAGAAAAATCGAAATACTTGTGAACAACATGGCGGACATGAGTGAAGTGCACATGCGGCTAAATCGAGGAATGCACATTTGACATTTGCCCGACGCCATCTTGAATTCATTATTAACTGGGGACATCCGTGGTTATCTTATGATAATAATGAATTAGTAAAATGGTTATCCATAAAGTGCTCGTTTATATGGCGAATTCAATGGTGTTCTCCGATTTTCCATCTAGATACTCTGGGGTTAGTTTTAAAATACCTTGACGCTACTTTTATAATTATATGAAAATTAAGGAATAGTTTTAAATGTCAACTTTGTCAAGAACATTCCCTTGACTTGTCGAGAAGTTTTATATGTTTTAAAGTAGGAAGACAAGTGACAATCAAATATTTTTTAATCCGAATTAACGACTCAATATAATGTTATTTTACTGATTCATATTTTTATAAAAGTAGCGTCAAGGTCTTTTAAAACTAACCTCTGTACGCTTTTGTTCACAATGTAGCCGCTTCATTTCTTCAAATTTCCTGAGAATATTCGTCCAGTAACAGTAATTCTTGTATATTTTGAGTTGATTTTGTATGAGAGTAGCGAAACGAGCTCGTGTCGATAAACAAAGTCTGAGGCTCTCCACTCCTTCAGAGTTGTAAACCCGTTTCGCGGCGTTATAAAGCCATAATACTCCAAATTTTTTGCTCGAAATTCTTCTTGTATGCTTCTATCATTGTGATTGTAAAATTTGCCCGGTCAGAAACGTAGCCAAGGCAAAAAACGCGAAAAACTACCATCTGTAATACAAATCTATACAAAAGTGGGACCCTTGAATCGGGTGGCGGCCAGTGACTTCAGGTGTCACAGTGATATGAGTATCCCCGTGTTTTGGGTATTCCCACACTAATATCCCTAGGGATAAAAGTACCCCCGGTGGGGATACATCAGTGGGATACCTACAACACTAGAAGCGAAATGATGCAATATTCAAAATATGAGCAGGAGGAAAGTCATTTATCTATGCCTTTATTTTCCGGTATTTACGTTTTTACAGTTATGCTGCAGTAAATGTGTATAATGTGAATGTGCTTATGTTGTAAGATAGCATGTTCGCATCGCATAAATTGGTGTAGAACATAGTGTAGAATTAATTTTTACAGCTAGTCATTTAGAAGTTGTGACAATATTACGCAGAACACGACCGCCATATTGCCGGGGATTCACATATCCCTAGTGAGGTGAGCATGAGGATACACATATCCCTGGTGATATTAGTGTGGGGATACACAAAACACGGGGATACTCACATCACTGTGACACCTGCTTCACTTTTGTATACCGTATAGATGCGTTATCAGTCTTAGTACAGATCAGTGGGCTAAATCGAGGAATGCACATTTGCCCGACGCCATCTTGAATTCCGCGCAATGACCTGGGCACAGAATAAAGACATACAGAAGTGTATCTTCTTATTAAAAGTGCGTAAGGGATTTTTTCAGTCCGCCATGTTCTTAGCAAGTGCCCTAAAGAGAGGCAGTCACCCCCCTGAAAACATATTGAAAATTTAATATTCCAGGGGGGTGAATGCCTCTCTTTAGGGCACTTGCTAAGAACATGGCCGCCAGCTATTTCGGTAAAAATCGCCTTACGGTTTTGTAATGGTAGTTACACTTCTGTATGTCTTTATTCTGTGACCTGGGTCTCAGTTATGATGTCATAGTATCTATCATGAATGATGTAATCAAAACAAACATATTCGCGGGAAAATGAAAATATTGGATTCTGATTGGTTAATTGTCGCTTGGACATGCCTAAATACTAAATTGTTATGTAATACTATATAAATAAAGCTAGTTTACAGCAGCAAAAATCACAATAAATACACTTTTGATGCTTTTAAATCATAAATAATCATATTATAATGACTTATTTTAGCTTTTGATTTCATATAAAGGAAAATAAACCGATCGAATATATAAAATAACAGCATTTCGCGTATCGACATTTTTCACAGTGATTTGTATGCATTAATCGACACTTTGGTCTCTGGCACGCAAATTTACTTTCGTATGGTGAGCACATAGTTGTGTGCACGGTAGATTGACATCCTGAAAATACCCTTCAATTCTGCATGAAATTCTGTATCAACATGTACAGCCCTATATTCGCCCTTTAATACTCTAAAACTCGAGTCTTTACCCTACTATTAACTATAGGAATTTGTGTACAGAGTAGATGGAAAATCGGAGAACACCATTGAATTCGCCATAAAAATCAGCATCTTTTCATAGTAAATATCTCTAGTCAATTTAATAAAGAAAACTTTTTATCGCGTGTTTACTTCCCAGCTGACAATGGAAATAAACTACGGATGTAGACAAGGGATACAGGAGCACTTTAATGGATAACCATTTTACTAATTCATTATTATCATAAGATAACCACGGATGTCCCCAGTTAATAATGTTCAAGATGGCGTCGGGCAAGGTAATCGTTCCATGTTTCGCGCACCAATATAGTAAACGTTATGTAATGGATATTATAGTGTCCTGAAAAGTTCACTAGATACCTCCATACACATATAACACCCCCAGCCCTAACCCCAACCTTAAACCTAACCCCTAGCCCTAACCTAACCCCTAACCCTAATACCTAACCCCTAATCCTAACCTATATTGGTGCGCGAAACATGGAATGATAACCCGAAATGGGCATTCCTCAATTTAGCACTGATTTAGCCTGATTTAGCAGCATGTAGATGTGCATTCCTCGATTTAGCCGCTAGTAGTGAGTGCAATTTGCTTTCGCTCGAAGACAGTGTCCCAACTCTTGAAAATACTATTTCCGAACATCAAGAAGAACTAATTAGAAGGCGGGATAGAATATGACGTTGAAATTTTTATCGAGGGATTACAAAAATTTGAATATTTGTGGAAATTATACTTCTCGGGCCTCGTGCAAAGACAGAAATTGCAAGATGAATGCTTGGCAACAGCTTGGCAAAATGTTCAACAAAAACGGTATGTTTTACAGAATTTTATTCAAATTATAACCTATAGATATGTAATTTGGTGTACGAATATCAAGATATCTATGACGAATATATGTATTGTTAATTTGTTATGATGTTATCTGCTCAAATTAATTTAAATAATTTTAATGGCCAACCTGACATGCAAATTGTGCCCAAAAATATTTTTCAGTCATTCAACATGTTGACAGCAGATATTTCATCTGTATTTTACAACACTGATAGGTGTCTGATGTTGTAGACGTTAAAAACATTATATATTAAATAATATATAGTTCTCCTACAGCTTGTTGGGAAGTTGTAGTACTGTAGGTTTGGCTGGATACATGTCAGTATTATGTGACACAGTTGACCATCCTTATTATTGCATCTTCATTCCATCTGCTCTATATAATTATGTGTTCCTAGTTTGATTTCATTTCATTTGTGCATTGTACCCTGATGTTTTACTGCTGCTGGTGATATGCACAAGTTTTTAGCTTATGAAGTGGTACGTTACATACATCCCTAGCTTTATATAAACTACAGGCTAGGATCAATTTGCTTCCCAATAGCACATTGGACAGATTTGCCCAAACGTACATGTCGGTGTCCACTGTGAATGTTAAAACATTGTTCTGGCACAATAAGCTGACCTATATAAATATAATGCACTTATTATCGGCTTCCCCAGGGGTCGACCCCTGGGACACCCAGGCAGTGGTGGAAATTTACTTTTTCCAGTGTGGGGGGGGGGGGCGAAGCCTTCTAAATTTCCAACAAAACTTTCAAATTTCCGACAAACCCCCCATTTGCACTCGAAAAGGCTGTTTTTAGCCCGAAATTTCCACAAATTCGTCATTTTCCACGAAGGTGGGGGAGCGGCCGCCGCCCCCACCCTACCGAAATTTCCGCCACTGCACCCAGGGGCTTTTGTTAAGAGGACGGGAGAAAACATTAACAAAGCCCCTGGGTACAGGGGAAAGTTTAATGACAAAAATCATGTTACAGCCCCCTACCCCCTGGGGCAAAAAAAGCAAACATTATTTATTCCAGGGGTAAACTGGTTACCAAACCCAAACAATTCCCCTTCCCCAAGGGACACTAATTTTTACAAAAGACAACAAATCCCCTCCTGTCCCCGGGGAAGCCGATGATAAGTGCATTAATCAATAGATATGAATACAATATTTTATGCCATATGATATAATATTTGTAAATAAGTAATATATTTATTCAATTACCAGCCATGGGTGCAACTTGCCACTATCCATGAAATAAAAATGTCTAGATTTAGTCAAAATAAAATGTAAAATGTCCTGACAATTAATTGATTGATTATACTCTTTTATGTAGTGGACTTCTTGAAACAAGAATTTAAAAGATTGAAAGACAATTTGAAGAAGTGCATGCACCGACGTGAAAAGGCAACAAAGTCAGGAGCACCACATTCAAAATTGCCACAATGTAAATACTTCAGTCAACTTTTGTTTTTGACTGACAAAACAGCAAATAAACCAACAGTGAGCAATGTGTCTATTACAATAAACGAAGGTGAAGATTTGGTTGAAGAATCAGCCCCTTTGGAACTTCAACCTTCCACCTCTACACCGAAAAAAAGAAAATCAGTGTCCCAGTCTTGTACCAATGACAACATCAATTTAACACAAGCCTCTTCTGGTTCTGCAAAAAAATTGAAGCCTTTGCTGGATAATCAGAGTCAAGCTAGTCAACCCAAAAAATGTCGTGCTGAGCTAGCTCATGCTGTAGATTCAATGCTGGTGAAAACACTACAAGATATGCAAAATAATGGAAATAGATCTGATGGCCTGGAGACAGAAAATGATGAAGATTCATTGTACTGTAGAAGTCTAATACCAATCTTCCAACAACTCCCTCTTAAAAAAAAGAGATTAGCAAAGATGAAATTTAATGAATTACTTTACAAGATAGAATTTGAGTCAGATGATGAAAATACCAGATTTTTTTGAGGTTTGACACACCATATTTTACCAGTATTTAAAATATTTTATATAAACGTTATAGAACAACTATGTATGTTCCTGTTCAAAATATTACTTGTTAAACTGTATTTTTTGGTTATTCATCATATTTGTGAAAAACAAATATTATGAACCATATTGTACAACAATGTTCATATTAAACTTGTTAAACTTGTTGACTCATTGTTTATAATTAATTATCATTTATCCTTGTCCTGATTCAAGGTGGTTCGGGTTACTGAATCAATTTGCCAACTGACAGATCCTTCTTCTGAAGTGAAAAACTCTCTGAAACCTTCTCTCACACTTCTAGCATCGTTAGAATAATTGTTAGAAGAGGTCCTTCTAATTCCAACCATACCCCCGTTTGGCTCCTGTCTCCACTCTCCTGGGGTAAAACCATTAGCAGTCTCACAATCAATTAAACTTGGTGGGCAATAACTATGAATTTCTCGTGGGGATCTACTGGAAATCAGGAAGTTATGTAGAGCAATTGCAGCCTTTGTTATTTCAATTACACGATCCACATGACAAATAATAGGGCGTCGAAAAACACGAAATCGAGATGCTAAAATCCCAAAAGTGTTTTCAATTGTCCTTCTCCCTCTTGGCAATCTATAGTTAAAGATACTTTGTGAAATATTGGAAGTTGCTCCTGGATACGGTTTCATCATGAATGTTAATTTTGAGGCCAAAAGCATCATCTCCAAGGAATACATAAGGCAAATCTATGTCACAGTTACTGGTTATTTTCTCTGAATCTGGTAGATCTAACAAGTTGTTTTCAATAGCATAACCCAAGTAACAATTATTGCCGGTATACACTACCATCAGATTGACGTCCAGAATCACCAACATCAACCAAGATAAACTTGTAATGGGCATCGCATATTCCCATCAACATGATACTGTGAGTTTTTTTTTATAATTAAAAAGTCCGACCCTGCTCTTGGAGGTGCTTCAGTGACGATGTGCTTCCCATCAATTGCCCCTAGTGCGTGCGGATAGTTCCAGTAGTTGTTAAATTCCTGCGAAATCTTCTTCCACTGTTCTTTTTTCTGGGGAACCTCAAGAAAGCCCTGCGTTTTTAAAACATCCCATATTAGCTGGCTAGTTTCGTGTATCTCTCCCAGTGGTAGTTGGGCTAATACGATAACTGGCTCCAATAGTCACTTGAGCATCCCCAGTCGTGAGGTACCTCAATGTCAGTGCTAACCGTTCACTAGGAGTAATAGGATCTCGCATCACAGTTGATTTTTTCTGCAGATAATTAAGGTCCTACCCACGTCGAAGGTGTCATCCTGAACCGATTAGTAAAAAACTCCTGGTCAAACAGCATCATTTCTCTCACTAATAAATGATATTCGCCTTTTTCGCATCTTTCCTGGTAAATTTTTCTAAACCAAAACCTCCTTTTGTATTTCTCTGCTCGCCTTCTAATGCGTAACCTCAAGGACAATAACAATAGCACTTTTAAAAAATATCACTTGTTCGCAGCAGCCATGTTTTTTTTTTCGCTTCTGCACGATTGAAAATTCGCGCGCTTTTGGCGTGGAAATTGCCCGTGCAGGTTTCGCTCGAAAATAATCGCTCGAAAAATTTCGATTCGGTCGAAAAATTTCGCTTAGTGGAAAACCGCCTTAAATCACTTAATTTTTTTTCCCTTTATGCCTTTCATGCATAATTTTTAAACCTTTTGTAAAGAGTAAGAAATCAATCATGCATAATGAACCAGTCATGCGTGTGACAAATTAAGCATGAAAGGCTAATATGGCAAAAATATCCAAGTTTTAGAGGTCGCGTGTAGGGATTAGTGTACATCAAATTGTCTGCTACTTTGATAGTTCATAAAACACCTTCTAAATCTGCACCCTATACATTCAAATTGCGTTTTAAGCCTTCCATTTTTGTGCGCAAGCTATTTTAAAGTAATTTTTAAAAACGATCCTTGAAAATTTACTTTTCAAAATAATTTTAGTGGTAAAGATACTAGCAGAGACTCCAAACTACCCATGCTTGCATAACGTTTTCACAAATATTGCGGAATTTCCAGTTTAGCGAACATTTTCGTATGCAATTTTTATGCACAGAATAACTATACTACTGCAGTACATACACTTTGATATCGCTTACTCTTTCTTTTATTTCAGCCCAAGCCTTTGTTTGAAAAACTGGACAGCAACAAAATGGAAGAATTCCGAAAACTTTATTCTGGGCAACAAAATCATCGAAATAAGGTATTCAAACAGTTGTTTTTTGAATGAATACTTTTATGATTATGTAGGGGTCTCTGTAAAGAACGGAAACCGAAACGACCGAATCCGGAAACGACCGAAACCGAAAATTCCCGCCTAATTTCCCGCATAACGAATAATTATATTCAGAGAATTATATTGTTGTGTTGTTAAAGATGATATCCAGTCGAATCTGCGCATGCGCGGTAAATATTGTTTGTGGGGTGCACAAACAAACCACATTAATGTAAATTACATGAAGTATCTTAGTCATTATTAAGAATTTAAAAATTAAATACACGGCTAAAAACGCACAGGTTGTTTCAAGTTGATATCGACAGGCGTGAACAATGTTGTGCGGCCAACTATGAACAAGTTGTCAACCATGTTATTCCAAGTTCTTACAGTTAAACAATGCTGTAACAACATGCATGCTGACAATACTGTTCATAGTGGGCCGCACAACCTTGTTCACGCCTGTTGATATCAACCATGGCGTCGCGACTCGCGTACAGAAGCGAAGGTGGAAATGAAAAGATTGTTCTTTTTTCTTCTGCTAAAATAACCCTAATTTGAACTATCATGCCTAGGGAACAAGTAAAAGTCTTAGGAGTTCTAAGGAGCGAAAATAAAGTATCTACTGTGATTTATAGCAGTTTATTTCGCGAAGAAATCGATTTACTTTACTAAAAATATATGGAGACTGTATGCCATGGCAAATATGTGTTCTGAAGTACGAAAATACTGCTGGAAATTGTCTTAAAATGAGTGGTGTTTTATGAGGATTGAAGACAAAGTTTGGAATGCTTTCTACAATATACAGTTTATAGGAATTATATGGCAAAGGTCAAAGGAGTTATATAAAAATGTAAACACTATATTATAAAAACACTGGATAGTGTCAGTATGTTGAATAATTTTCACAGATAACGGAAAATTCTCAGTGGTTATGCCCTATGGTTATGTCTTGTTTTAGAAGTCATCGACTCACTGTAATGTTTCTAGTAGTTTAATGTACTGATTCAACCATATACGCTAATACATGACTGGTGTATTTATATACATCAACAAAATGTTTATAAATAGCTTATTACACAAGTTTATATCTGGAGAATAATGCCTAATGGTAAAATATTAAGGTATAAAAACAGTTTCCTCTCCTATTCCAAGGCAATGTGCACTAATTACATTTGTGATTGACTGAGATCAAAATGGTTTTTGTGTGAAATTAATGGAGGATTTTCATGCTAGAGTGTTATGTTCACCTCACCCACAGGAAGCAATAAAATATTGGTAACAGAGGCCAACTGGTGTTTAACTGAGTTAATTTTCTAAACTAAAGCGGCATTTTTGTCCCTACAAGAACGGCAAACAACATTTGTTAGAATGTTTAATAATAGTGTAGTTTCACTACAATAAACTCTTCCAATTATTACTGTAATAGTTCAATGTTTTCGCAAACATTCGTCTTTTTATGTCCATGAGGATTAGGAAAGAATCGCCGTCGCTTATCTACATCTTCCATGTCTTTGCCGCATTGTAAACACAACGTGTCATGGAATTTGGAGAAAGATCGTCTTGAAATATAGTGGCATAGAAATTTATACGGCATTTTAGTCTAAATTGATAGCATTTTCTTATGTTATTAACAGTTATTGTCATTAGAAATTACTGTGTTTTCAAATTTGAGCCGAGCGGAGATCTACGATCGAAAAGTCAAAGGAAAGTCTATTTACAAATTGAGTTGAAATCGACAACTTTTGTGAAACTTGCAATCATTTTCTCGCCAGAATTTTTAATCATGCAGATCCAAATTCCTGCAAGCGAAACAAGTCGATCTCGCGGCTCGCTATTCGAGATCCACTTGTGGGCAAGTCTAGTATTTACGTAGCCTACACTGTTTATCTTTGCAACAATTGTGTATGTTTATCCTATAACCCTCCCTGTCAAATTTTCTTGTGGAAGGACACTGGAGTGCCCGAAGAAAACCCACGACTTTCGGCAGAGCGTTGACAGATTCTTCACATGATCCCGTAGCGAGAATCGAACACACGATATCAGGGGTGAAAGGCGATTCTGACGAGTGCGCCGCTGGAGACCCATTTGTTTTATTTTATTATATTAGCTTTTGCCAACTAGGACGGGGTCGCCGCAACAGCGTATGCCAATTACTGTGGGCCCTTTTACCTAACTCATCCTGTCAATTTCCCCTGTGGGAGGAAACCGGAGCACCCGGAGGAAACCCGCGGCTTTCGGCAGAGCGTTGACTTTTTACTCTTTTCGCATGGGGACTGGGTTCTGGTCGCATTGGGAAAGTTCTCGCTGGGGTTTGAACCTGCGACCTTAGAGATGGAAGGCAAGTGCGCTAACCACTTCGCCACCGAAGCTCCATAAATATATATACAGTTATTTTGCAATAGATCGACCTTTTTAAAAAGTCTGCCTTGTGTCGTAGTTTGCGGATAAAGGAAAACCCCGCACAGCCATTTGGCTTGCCTGATTGGCCAAATGATCGTATTTATTATTATTATTATTATTATACAATTTATTTATACACGGTAAAATCTACAGTGGTTACAAGAAAGACAATAAACTAATACTAATACTAATACTGGTTTACAAGATTGCCGTGTGGGGGCTCGTTTATTCGTCGAAATACTTATTAACAGCTTTTTAAAATTTAGCCTGTGTTTGAAGCTATCTTATTTCTTGAGGAAGGCTATTCCACAATAGTGCACCACTATAACAAAAGCT